AAAGTTAAGAACAAAAAAAGATAAAGACAGAAGAACATAATATGCTTTAAGATTTTTTTTATTGCCTACATAAACTTTCTATATGAGTATTTGCATAGGCACAAATATACACTTGCACAGGGTATTTTTAGATATATTACTAAATAGTATTTAATATTTGGAGCTTTAGCTTTTGTCTGTGATTAATATTATTATTTCATATGTATAAACCAACATCACTGTGTCTAGTTCCTGCACACAGCACCACCAAGACCATTCTCTGAAATCACAGAAACAGGATTTTTTTTTTTACTAATTTGTGCTCCCTCTGCTGGCTTTAAATATGAAACTCTGCAGTGGGATAACTAAGGAATAATTTTTTAGCCATAGGCATACAGTAAAAATCACAGTCCATCACTTCATACCTGAAGAGCAGAATACAAACATAATGATTTTAAAAATCATTAAAGCCATTACATAATAATGTTGGGACTGCCTGTAACGATTAGCAATAATTTTAAACATGACAGATTTGGATCTAAAAACACTTCATATTGCTATAATTTTAAAGAGACTCGCCAAATATGATGACGTTCTTAAAAAGCCTATTAGTATATGTTAAACTCATGTTTCGCCTCTTCACGAAACATACATGTTGGGTGCCTTCCCACTGGCCCCTATGCCATATTACAGAATTACATCATAATTTTTTTTTTAATGTATCACATTAGAATGTAGCAGAACTGTAGTGTTCTGCTACAGATATTATTTAATCAGGATGTACCATTACTTAAATGCAACGTAACACAGTCTTAATATTATCTACTTACCACCTGATACAACCACCTTTGCACTAGTAAGCTCTGGTCGATCGCTTTTTGTCAACTTCTGCTCAATCCATTCAGACAGACCAACAGGCGGTGGAGGGGTTACTGCATTCATCAGATGAAGAAAAACATCCCCAAGAAAAAGGATAAAGCGTGTATTTTCAACCTTTTAAATTTGAGCTTAAACTTAATGCAAAAGTTCTTTCTATAACCAATTCTACCACAAGCTTTTAACTACTATCAGTAATTGCTCTGTGGCTCGAAGTTACAAGCCTCTTTCGTTAGTTGTGTTTCAGTAACCTATAGTACAACCTGCACTAAAATGAAGGTATGTAGTATAATACATTGATATCAACCCAGCATAATAAGTGTGGTTCTTATTAAGACAGGCGAACAAGCCAATTAAGTAGTGCAATGACAGTGCAATATGCTAATCTTAAGTATCAAGTACCGTTTGTTTCCTGACATCCACAGACGTTAGGAAATACAAGATGGGTCGGGGCAGGTGCTAAGCCACCCAGAAAAACATGAAGACTGGGACACACACAGAGCACGATACTAATGATTGCCTCTGCTGGATTTACAGCACAGTCATAAAAAGGCCCACAGTGAAAACCAGTAGAGGTCATCAAACACTGGAACAGGTTGCCCAGAGTGGTTGTGAAGTCTCCATCTGTGGGGATACTCAAAGCCTGACTGGACACAGTCCTGCGCAACCTGCTCCAGGGGGGATGGACTGGATCTCAAGAGGTCACTTCCAACCCCAACTATTTTGTGAATCTGTGACTGGACTTCTCTATTATCAAAGCTACACTGGCTTCATTAAAATAGTAATTTAAACTGATTTAGTTAAAACTGATTTAAAACAACAACTGGATGTTCCCAAATCAATTTAAACTGCTACTAATTTACCTAGACACTGTAATGACCTATCTCGATTGAAATACGGCCAATTAAACCAAAACTGCGGATAGCCAGCCACTTTTATTTTTGCTCAATCTTGCTTTGAAAACCAATCTGGCTATGCAAACAGCTGTAACTTTAAATAAGGAAAAGTTTCAAGACTGCGGTGGCAGAGGTTTAAGCAGTGAGTGAAACAGGCACAGATTTTGGCACAGACAACCTCCATTTCTGGTCAAAGAAAAAGTAGCAAGTGAGCAGATAATCCGTATCTTCCCTTACCAGAGATCACTAAAAAATGCAAGTACCCTTATCAAAAGCATAAAGCTAAGATTACGACAATCGGTTTGCTTTGACAAATACTTCCGCAAAACATCACCGTGCAGTGAGCAAAACTGACTCTATTACATGAAATGATGAAATACCGGAACAAATACTCACACTTTTCTAAACTGGCACTACCACCAGTTGTTGGTGCAGCCTCAAAAGAAGTTCCCCGTACGGTAAACACTTTAATCGCTTCATCACACTGCACAGTGCAAAGAATATTTCCTAAAAAAAGGGGTCACGTTATATTTTTAAAGAAGATAATATCAGGCATACTACGCTTTTTACAAAACAAATAAAATTAATATCAGAAACACATTAGCAGTTCTACTAGAATAGGCAACATTCAAACGTTACTTCCCAAAATTGCAGGTTTAGATGACTAAAACTTGAAACCTAGGCATTTAATAAATGTAGATTGCAAATATTTTATTTTACTTTTTAGCTCCATGTTTCTGAAGTATGGTAACAAATCCTCTATTTTTAAAGGATACAGAGCATTCAAATCACCTCTTATGAACGAGCTTTTAAATTTCAGAAGGGGTGGGGGGGGGAACCCCAACTTTGAAAGTGTCATTCTTAAACATAAAAAGTGTCTATAATTCAAAGTAGATCTTTTATCCTGTTGCATGAATTCATCAGAACAGAAGACAATGAGGCCTGCCCCAAGTATCTGTGGGATTATGTTTCTCTCAATAATAAAAGGTATTTACTTCACACTGGTGGCTGCAGGGAACACTAAAAGAGAAAAATGCTGCAACACCAGCTATTCATAAACAAAGTAATTGTGAAACTGTGAATTACTGGGAAGCAACTTAAAAGTGCAACACAAAACCACATTCTGGTAGTGTAACTCAAAATGTAATACCACGTTGATACATGTGGTACAATCTTGTACAGCAAAATTAAGAAACACAGGCTAACGAGCTCATATCTAAATTAAAACACAGTGTCAGACAAGCATTAGAGAAACAAGACTGAAAAAAGAATTGCAAATTAAGTCAGTTAAATATTATAAATAATTAGTTCAATGTCTTCGTAATTAGGAAAAATAACCCTGTGGTATCGTAAATCAGAACTAATGCTAGTCATATTAAATAAAGCTGGACAATTAACTTAATGTCTTACATTCTACAAAATCTGATCAGAAGTACATTAACAAAGAAATGCAGTACGTATAAAGGAGATCACCAAATTCTATTAAAGTGATAGACTTGGTTTCTAACTGATAGTACCAAAGTTGTTGGGATTACTTGCTTTCTCATACATGGTGCATCAAGTCCATCCCCAGTTTCATTTTTAGGAATCACAGCAATTCAGATTGTAAAGTGAAAATTCCTATCATATTCCAAGGTTCTAACAACAGGATTATGTAGAAAAGTTATCAGTATTGGGTCCTTTATTGCACAAATACCACATACCTTTTGTGATTACCCACCTGCATAGATAGTTCTCACAAAAGTGTCTGGTGACTTAATTTCAATAATGTCAGAAACAGGGGCAACATCAAGTTTGCCAGCCACTCTGGGAATAAGATTCTAGAAGTTAAAGATGAAAAGTTAGCAAAGTAAATGCTAAGTAAAATGCACGTGGTCAGTAAAAGAACGCTTGCTGTCCTGATTTTAACTTCATATAATGCTGGCTGTAAGTAAAAAGGCACATACAACTGTTAAAAGATTTTTGCAGGGCATTGTAGCTTTAGCAGCCAAATAAAATCCCATTATTGTAATAACATTAGACATTTTATGAGACTTACCGTAAGTAAACCCTTAATTCAATATCTTGAATTAGGAGGCTTATTTGCTTCAATAGTTTAAAACTGAATATAGATGCAGTTCACTCAGAAAATTGACAATTATGGATTGCTGAGCTCTTAGCACTTCAAGAAAAAAAAAAAGCATTTTTGGAAGCTAGTTACCAGAGAGAATAGGAAAAAAACCCTGCACTCTCCCCCCAAAAGCCAAAAAATTATTATTTTAAAAATTAGTATTGTAATATATATTCTCCTGCTCCGAAATTGACTCTAGAAAGTTACTTAGCACTTTTAGGAATGGGAAGGACGATAAAAAGAGCAACATAAATCATGAAGAAATTAATGATAGCAAGAGCTTCGCTTGCTTTTTGTCCCCCTCCTAATCTGGTACAACACAAAGGGCCCAGTTCTGAAATCTTTACTCACATTAAGCACTCAAAAATGGAAGCGTAAGCTTTAAAGCAAAAGCTATTAACCTTTACTAAGACACTGCAGATCAAAAATAAAAAGAAAAAATAAAATAAAAAACCCTAAGACTTAAGGTATGTAAAGATTTCTCTTAGGAAAATTACAAGTATATGGAATGGTATTGACTGGAAGTGAAAGTAGTCAGATGGAAGGCTGATGTCATTATTCATCCTACATCGGCAAGATCTCTGAAGTATCCTTTTTCTGTAATTTAGCTGCACCACAACGTTGACCAAATTGTTACTACTGAGGCTCTCCGCATACTTAAAAAACCCACGCCTTAAAAAACAAGTTTTGAAAAAAAAAACATCTTGGCTAGGACTTGGATTTGTGTTATTTATATATATTTACAGACATTTCAATTTACATGACTTACATCATAGATGAAATTCCCCCCCTCCAAAAAAAAATTGCTTCCAATAGGTCTGCACACTTTCCTTTCAAGATGCAAAGCATATCTTTTTCATCTCAATTTACTGTACTTTTCCTCACAATTTTCATAATGCTTTCAGATCACTTAATTGATTTTGTGTTATTGTACATTTTGCCTCGTGCACATAGAACTAGCTGGTTACCACTAAATATTTCTTCTACACGAAGAAAGTCCTACAGTCTGTCCAAGTCAGCCCGTAATAAAACTCAGACACGAATCGGTGTTTCTAACTAATGACCTCTTAAGCGAACTACTGTAACGTTTTTTGAAAACTCAAAACTGCCCATGGCTGACCTCTCTCAGGCATTTGATTCACGCTCTTACATACAACAGGGTCTCTCTCTTTCCAACAAGAAATTTTTGACGCACTTCTACCTACTTACCTTCCCAAAGGCAGATGCTCCAGCGCAAATGTGGGTGTAATTAAATTTTTTATGAGTTTCCAAAATCAAGGGAGTCAGCTCCTCTGAGGATAAAAATACATTGCTCAAAATTTACAACTATCTTATTTTCAATTGCAAATATAAATACCATTTCTTTTGTCAATAGATAAGAGCAACTCTCACCTGCTAAAAATCCCTTGTATACATCGTGCTGAGCCACTAGAACTTTTACCACACCCTGCACTTTGCTGAGTTCTTGTGCTACCTATGATTACAAATGAATTATTATTAGTTTGTATTATAACAGACACCACAAACAAATAACAAGAGAATCCCTGCTGCAAAGAGCTCATAGCCTATAGATTACTTAAAACTGGAACACAAAAGTGTGTGAATTTCAAAATCAGAACAAACCTGATGAAACAAAATGCAGATCTTCTGACTCACAGCATAGTGCCTTCTGGGATAATGAAAATGAATTTTGTGAATAAGAAAACAAAGCAAATCAAACACAGGAAAGCTTGCCTCCTGTATGCAGGATTACACAATGATCTCAGGATTTACTACAACAGCCGATAACAACCACACACGAGGATTATTGCTCAGTATTCTGATACAATCATCAAGAAACCAATCCTACTTTCTTTTAAACTGGTCAATACCTACCGCACAAGCATACAATGCAAATACAAATGTACAGCGATGTTACGATCTTTGTCCAAATTTTAGGAGCAATCCTTTGTTTGCAGCTGACTCTGCCTACTGATGTGATATATACTTTCAATTCTAGATTTATGCAGTTTTTCCTTTAAATATGCAGAAGCGAAGTTTAAATGATAAAAGGGTTGTTGCAGATCAGAGAGAAGAGGACTGACAGCAGTGTCTGGAGACCACATGCATCATCCCAGAACTAGCACAGTTTTACTGAGTTTGCCGAGTATCAGTTTACCCTCAAAATTAACAAGAGGAAATAAATAAAAATTCGTAATAGCTGCTACAGAATATCTGTTTGAGTAACTGGCTTTTTTGTCCTATCAATACAGATTCTTACAAAGAAACTTAACGCCAAACCTTCATTTTTTGTAAAGCACTTTTTCCCAGCATGACATACATTGCCAAATAGACACCATATACTTAGTATCAAAAAACAAATAAACAAAACATTCCCAATCATTTTTCTACAATGCAAGTGCCAAAGAATAAGGAAACTCAAAGACAGACATATCAGGCAATTTTTTTTTTTTTTCTTTTTTTTTTCCATTTTCTTGATCTAGATAAATATTTGCTTCCAGGTCTCCACCTCAAACACCTCAGTTTAGAATAGCCACTTACGTTTCTCCACCTATTTGTGAATTAGCTGCCATAAGTACGCCTTCCTGCATGAGATACTACATATTGCTTTCAGAATAACAATTCATAAACAATAGCCTAGTATGAAAAATATTAGGCATAATTATTTGTACTTTTACTGTTGACACAAGAGTATATCATGCTGGAATAAAAGTGTCACTAATGTACTAACTATATTGTCTCTAGATTTTGCACATAAAAATCAAACTAACAATACAACAGCTAACATACAAGAAACTTTTTTTAGACCTGAGCTATATGATAAAGTCAAGAAGACCTATTTGTCACCGTTGTGTTTCATTTCTGCTGGTTTCCATTGGAATAAGTGCAAGCTTCTTTTCAAGTTCTTAGCACTGCAATATTTGTCTTTCAAACTCTACAGGGAAATACTGTTTTAAAAGTTAATTGTCTTTTAGTCCTATAAAAATTTGCTTGCTTAAGCTTGTAACAACTGATATTGATACTCTCCCTTGTGAAATGAAATCATACCCATATTTTCACTTCAGAAGAGAAGCAGTTCAAGTGCAGGACATTTCCGACAGATTAGCAATTCCTGGCACAGTTCCTCTTCACTACAGATTATTTACCAGGCTGACCAAGATGCTACCAAGTACTATTTCACTGCATTCATTATTTCATTCATATTTTCATATGAAAATAGCACTTCCTACCTTGTCACAGCTGGTACCAGCTACTAAACAAGAAACTTCACCTCCAAGACGTTTTGCCGCAGTGATAGTATTTAGTGTAATGGGTGTAAGAGTCTCATTGTTGTGTTCTGCTATAACTAACGTACTCTGAAACCTCCGGAGCAGCGATGCCTTTAAAGAAAGAAAGAGAGACAGAGGAGTTTGGTACTTAGCATTTAAGTAAAAACTGTTCCTAAGAGCACCCAAGACTTTACAGAAAGTTATCAATTACACAAACTGTAAAACACAGCTGTCAAACAAAACAGGCTAAATCTAGGTAATTTTTATTAAGTAGGCAGAATACATAAGGTGTTAAAAAAAAGTATAAACTTGCTTGACTTCAGCATAACATGCTGTGTTTAAACTAAAACCTCCAGAGGAAAGTATTTTCTTAATACTGAACAGTATTAAGAAAAACATTTTAATACATTACATTCAAGCTCAGTTGATCAACTTAACTACCTTAAAGAGTGAAGATTAGACCAGCAAGACTAAGACACAAGGAAATCAAGGGTAGCATATAAGTATTTATTTATTGTTTTTTGGGGGTTGCTGTTTTGGTTTGGGGTTTTGGGGGTTTTTTTACTATACTTTTTAGCCAAAATCTAGCTACAGAACACACTTTTTTAATTAGTTATGTATAAAGGCAAAATTGTATGCAGTGGCAGGAAGACAATTATGCAGCAAGGGCTCACAGCCTGAAAACACGCTAATAGAACTGTTGGTAAGCATCAGGTTCATTTTTTTTCTGTTTTCCTTTAAGACATTTGACACTTGACCACTTAGTCTACCACCACAATTTAATGGTCCTTAAATAACAATTTTGACCAATTCACCATCCACACACAGATTTTAACTTCTAAAGCAAAAATGAAAGAAAAAAAGAGGGGGAAAAAAAAAAAAAGGCAAAGAATTGCCATGAAACCAGACCAAAATATTCTAAGCTCTGAGGCCTTCCTCTCTAATTTTCAGGTGAACCTGGAAAAAGCGTTATTCCTCCAAGACTAATACCAGGGTGTGGAAAGAGTTTGAGGTGGGAACGGGAATATTATCCTTCACATCTTTGTTTATCCTACATAAAGCCTAAATCAAGACTCGAGTTACAATCAATGTAATACGGAACACATGGAAAACAATATATTCATTAATATGAACAAGGAACAAATACTAACACAACGCTAAAGACTGCACAGCCAAATACTACTTTTTTTACACAAATATTCTGACCCCATCTCCCCTCACGCCAAATACGCACTTACCCACCACTTAAACTAGAAAAAAAAGCTTCAGAAAAATCTGAGAGGCTAAAATTTGGATATAGACTTCAACCACACAAAGCCTACCAAGATGCTAAACTGCACACAGAGAAAGCAAATCCCGAGGACTTCCCTGAAGCTAATCACAGTGTAAAAATATAAAATACAAAAACAAGTTTTTGCAGAATCAGGATCGTAATTTGTCATTTTGATTAAAACAATAAGGATTCTTGTAAAAGTGCTCTGCATCTCATCTTTTATGCTTAAGGTTACTTGTTATGATTAAAGATTCTAAGATTGTTTGAAGCCAATTGTCAGTAACAAAATATTTATTGCCAGTATAGATCAGACACCATATTTTTGATTGTTTCATACATCTGCAATAAAAGTTATGAGATTTTAGTCACCGTTTGAAGAATAAATCCATGCTTTTGTGGCAAAAAGCCCACTTCTCCAATGATTTATAGTTGTGTTGCAGGGTAAAGTGGACCGTGCTCCTGAAAGATTCTGAAGTTTTCAAATTTCCAAAGGGAGCTGCATGCATTTTAAACACGCACTTAATTCTGACTATATTATGATCTTTTCCCTAAATAAGTACTGCACCACCAGAGGAGCTCTATATCATTCTGTCAACCGATTCTAGAATAAACTGAGAAATATTTTTTTTAGGCAAAAAGAATAAGAGCAATGGATGTTGCTTGAGGAGACTGGGTATTACAGCATTAACTAGGTATTATTTCTAAACCGATAATCCCACATTTTATATTTGTGGGAACTGCACACCAGAAGGTCACTTTATGCCTACATGCATCACATTTCTGAACACAAACACAAGACCAAATTTAAAATAAATTACAAGTCACATTTTAGATCTTGGGTAAAAATCCTGGATGACAAATAAGATTGTCTGAGTCTGAATTTTAATATACTAACACACATAGATTTTTTTTTTAAATAAACAAAACAAAAACAAACTGACTTTTGCTTGTTATAATAAAGATTCTGCAGTAAAACCAGAGGGTAATTCATCCAGTCACACACGATCCTGAAAACTGAGAATCTGCAATGAGTCAATGAAGAGGACAGGTAGTTATTTTGATGAAGTAACTTGCCCAGCTGCATGTGTGTGAGAACAGCCCATTATTTCACTGACATAATTTCTCCACCTGTACTTGGGCAGGACGTCTAGCTTCAAGCCTAGATAAAATAGGAAGGTTGAGTACAAACCTAACCAGCTGACAGCAAGGATAAGAAGCACAAGAAATAAGACACACAGAACAACCAAACTATTGAAAACAATGCCTTGAGAGGGAACCGCACTCAGAGCTTGTGCCACAGAAGGTCCCTGGTGAAAACCAAGCTCTGGAAAATCAGGCTACCCAAAGAAATCAATTACAGCTAAACACCCTACAAACTTGGGCGATCGAGTGGCTTTCTCAAGCACGCCAGTAGATTATGATCACATCTGCCAGCAACCAGTAGAACTGGAAATTTATTTCACCTAGGTTTAGACATAAATTGAAGCTAGGCACCTATATTCCCTCTGCAGCAGAAACGTCTACATTTCCTCTCTGGTAGAAACTCCAGACAGTGATTCAGTTTATACCAAAACAAACATTTATGAAGGGAAACTGTCTGGAGTTTCCAACTCCCCCCCCTCCCTCCCCAGCATTTACTGTGGAGCAAACCTGGCCTCCGACTTCCAGATGTCTAGAAGTTGGTAAGATGGCCCTAGGTGTGCGGTATATATCAATTAAGCCACTTGCAAAGTACCAAAGGATTCACTGAATCTATCATCTCAAGTTTCCCCAAAGCATCTTTTTGCTCCCCACCCGAGAAACCCGGCAATGTTTTCCAAACAGAACGTGAAAAATTTAAGCATAATATCTGAATATCTAGACTTCAGACAAATTAACTGAGACTACTCACTGCTACTGTCCTGGCCAAATGTTAGAAATCTGGACACGCCCAGTACACGTGCACAGATAAACCCCACGCATGAGGCCAGCACCCCATACATCCAAAGCACTCATTCAATTTGCGCAAGTGATCTGCTCTTCACAGCAACACCAATGCAAACCGAGCATATGTTGGTCTTCCAGCACATAGACAGGTCACCTGAACAGCACGCAAGCAGGCCCAGCACTTCTTAAATGTGTATTTGCTGCCTATATGCTACAAAACGTACGTATTAACAGCTGGAAAATCCCAGACAAAAGCGTTGTAAATCTTTGCTTGCTGCTTGGTGAGACTGGCGAGCAGACAGGTATCGCTGGCCTCTACAGTCAATAGTCAATAGCTAACTGCCTGCAGCCTGAACCAAGGACGCTCGTTGTAATGCAGCAATTATGAAATTGGCTCTGGAAGTAACACACGTGGCAGGCACAGGAACAAAAGATGGGACGGCTAAAAAGTCTTTCCAGAAACGCAAGAGCTCCAGCAGGTGTATTCTACACGGCCCCACACTCCAAATACGCAGGAAGGTAAAACAGGCTGTTAGGAACTTCACCCAGGAACGTGAAGTTTGCCTCCCAACCTCTTCAGAGGAACTGCCGGAAGTTTTGGGAACTAAACCGAAATAGAAATTCACAAGGCAAAAGCACCTAACAACTGGATCCACCAAGGTATCTCTAAAGCTGATTTTCTTAGCTGTAAAAGCAAACTGGCCAGAAATTAAAATTTTAAAACTGCTTAGCAGGAACTATGTATCCCACAGAAACCCACTACCACTGGGCAAAATTCCCCAAGAGCTGACTCCAGGAACTAGGAATTGGGGTATTACTAGAGAGAACAGCTACATTCCTATACAACAAAACAATGCCTAGTTCTATTAATAGACAGTCTTGTAGCTGCAAAACTTTAAAAAAAAAAAAGAAAAAGAAAAAGAGTATTTGGGAAACTCAGGGAGAGGAGGGAGCTCTAGCAATGAAGCTTACACTTCTCCTAGAACCTCTGTACAGATCTGGCTACAGAAGAGGTCTAGGCGACAGCTATTTAACTCCAGGAAACGCTAACTAGAAAGACAACACTAACGGCACCTGAACTGAAAATGAGCTATAATTGCAGCAAAGAACAGCAAAAGAAATAAAGAAAACACCTATAAAAAGGATTTATTTAGGAATCACAATAAAGACTTAAAATTAAAAAGGAATTGAAGCAGCAATAGAAAGATGTAATACAGAAGAAACTTTTCCAGGTATATCCCATGCAAACCATTAATAAAATCAAAGCAACAAAGCTGTTTTGAAATACAGACACTACTGAAAGTGAACTCAAGATAGATGAACACATTTAAAAAGTTAATAGCCTGAGCTTATCAATGACAATTGAAGGCTATATACAAAGTATTCCCTAAGACTACAAATGTAGCCCAGTACTTTCTGAGTAAGGTGTGTTTCAGGCTATTAAACCTATTTATCTGAACTCCCTCAGGCTAAAAAACAAAAAGAAACCCACACATGCATCATGAGATATATATGACTGAAATAAAGTCCACCATTTTCAGAAACACCATGAAATTGAAAGCTCTGAACAAATTAAAGGAACTCAAAGACTCAACAGCTGTGAAAACTGGGTCCCCCCAAAACACTGTAAAGACAAAATAAGAGAACCCGTTCAACATCACTAAAAATTAAGCAAGTGACACTTCACTTTATTCAAAAGCTATGATATGGTAAAATACTACGCTACAAAGTGAGAAAGAAAACCTGAGAGTTAAGGCCACTTTCACCTGAAGATCCCCAACAGCTTCATAAGAACATGCCTATTATTTTGTTTAAGGCAACTCTAAAGCATCTCTTGCCCCCAAAAAAACATACTGCAGAAGCAAATGCAACTTCTATTCTATCTGGACCTTTACAACAACAGCAGAACCCTGAAATACTATACAAAGCAAAACAGTTTTCTTAAGAAACAGAGCGCCACAATGTCCTTCACTCTTTCACTCTATGGCTGGAGTTTTTTTGAGGGAGCGTGGAGGTAGAAGTGAGGGAGACCAAGAGATTTATTTATGACTTGAAACAGTCAAGACTAGCACTGCTTGCCCTTCACGAATATCCTTAGGGATACATTCTAACTTCAACACAAGCTGAATGACAACTGGATACAAAATTAAAGGCACTGGTATTATACCCACCTGCAATCAACTTGGTCCCAAGCTGCTGTGTAATGTCATGTAAGAAGAAAAAAGAAAAAAAAAACCCCAACATTGTGAATAGGCAAAAAGGCAGACACTTGCTTATCTGATAAAAACGATAAAAGAACAGAGAATGTTAAGGGAATACGTTATCTGTTTGTTGTTTTATAAAGGTAGGAATGTGCGACCTCAAAATGCCCCTTCACTAAAAGTCTGCAAGACAATCCTGACGATCACAATTTCCTATCATTACAGGTTTGGAAGGGACCTCAAGAGCTCATTCAAAGCCACCCTCCATCAGATGCTAAGCAACCATATCTATGTTATTTCCAACATATCTGTCTAGCTTATTGTTAGTGTGTTTCAATGATGAAGGCTCCTAGGCAACGTATTCCAAAAACTTACTATCCTTTCAACTAGAAAGGATTTCTTAATGTCTGCCTTAACTCTTTGTAGCTATCTTAAATAGCTTTCTTGCAGTTTAAGCCAACTGTTATTGCTTTATCATCCACGGACCGGTGAAATAGCTTATTCCCATCTCTGCACCAATTTTTTGTGCACTTGCAGTTTCATATTTCTCCTCAGTCCTCCCATCTTTAAGTTATACAACTACAACCTTTCCTTGTTGCTCATACTTTACAGGTCTCTTGCATCCCGTTTTTCTCTAGACTTGATTCACTCTTGAACTGCATGGGTGTTAGCAGTGCTGAACTGGAGTTTGCTTCGCTTCTCTTGCAGACTACATTGTCACCCACACACTGAAGAGGCACACAATGTTTTATTGGCTTTATTTTATAAATTTATGAGTTTAGATGCATATGGCTGAAAAACAAGGAGCTGACCTCATGTTTCCAGGACATGAAACTGAATTGTGCAGCGATCATGAGACTAAAGTATTATTTACACGGCAGTACCGTATGTTCCAGGAGCTCCAGAGACCAAGACCTTTGCTCTGGAAAGCCTACAGCCCAACAATAACTGAACGATGTCCGTGATTACAAGTTATAATTTTTAGATTGACTAAGTCATGTATGTCCTGGTCTACTTTTGCTCTTCTTTAGGCCATTCTTAGTACCTGAAACCGATTAATATAGCCATAATTCCTATTTTAGCGCTGTACAGAACTGTAATACCTGTAAAAGCCTTGGAGAGCTCAAAAAGAAACTTGCGAGATTTAAAGCTCTTTTAGAAGGGTTATTTACACACAGTTCTAGTGGAGGGAGTGTCTCCTAGTGCATGCTATGAGACCAAACAGATATTCAGGGTCATTTTGTGAATCATCTACTCCAACTAACCTTGAGTTCACCTAGTCGTTAAATTTGGTAACATAGCCACCATGACACATCAAGCAGCAAACGGCCTCCAAAAGCCCAGCACTCTTCCCAGCTGAGCAATATGAAGGTCAATATGGAAAAGCAACAAGTGTTTCACATTAGCTCCGGTCCACAGATTGAGATGGTTAAAGCAATCACACTTCTGCACAGCAGAGTTCATGTGACCGAGAAAGGCTGTATTAAACCTCTCAAAACCCCAGGAAGCCTCTCCATGAGCCACAGGTTTCTTTCTAACGTTGTCAGAGTTTGCAATAACAAACGCCAAGAGTCTTTTCCAGCTGTAAGGAAAAGCGCTCGGGTTCCTCAGCTAGTCCTGTACGAGGGTGGATGAGAGCAGGCACTCCCAGAAATTTGGGACTTCCCTTCCGACTACGCTAGCTCTTCACACGGGACAACAATCCTCAACTCTTGCCTGCGGCGAACACTGGAAAGGCCTTCTTCAACAGCCGGCATCCCCTCAGAAACTTTACTTTTAACAGCTCACGGTGTGGAAGAAAAGCGGAGTCCAGCGGGGGAGCTCGCCCCCCGGACACCCCCTCGGCCACCGCTGCCGGGCGGGCCGACGCCGGAGCTCGGCC